AAAATCTGAGAAAACCCTGAAAATCAATAAAAATTTGAATTTCGCGCGCTTTTACCGGCAGTTGGCCTAGAAAACTCACACATGGCCGCTAGGCCACCGGTTCCCACGTTGACTTTTCGATGCCGTTTTTCTCAATGAAGGAATTTTTTTTTGAATTTTTTCTTTATTTTTATGGGGATTTACATGGATTTCTGCACAAAATAAAGCAATAAAATTTTTCACCGCACACCACCTTTAAAATTGCACCTTTAAAATTGAAATCTTGAGCTTTTTAGCTTCAAAATGAGCCCAAAAAACGACTAGAATTGGATTTCCTTCTAACCGCGCGACATTTCAGAACTCTAAGTTTCAAAAATCTCCGAACTTTTTGAGTTTTTAGATTTTCGAATTCGAGAATTTTCGGAATTTTCAAAATGAGCCCAAATAGCTCATTGCTCAGCCTTAACTTATCTAGCTAAATTTTCCGATTTTAGCTGGAAAATAGGTTGAAAAATCGTTGAAAATGATTTGAACTCAAAATTGGTGCAAAATTTGGGACCCCGGAAACTGAAAACAAGACGTTTCTTGCTCAATTTTGGCATTTTCGGGATTACTGTAGCTTGGAAAGTACGCAAACATCGAATTTTTCGAAAATTGAGATTTCGAGCTGCTTTATCGAATTTAGACTAATTTGACTATGGAGAAAACGAATTTGGCGTTGAAAACTGCCCAAAATGGCATATTCCCGTGTTTGCGGACTTTCGAAACTACAGTAATCCTTTTTAAAAAATCAAAATTGAGCTAGAAACCCCTTCAAAACGTCCCAATCAACTCAAAACATAAATTTTCCGATTTGTGAGATTATGAGCGTTCTGAAATGAGTCCAAACACGACTAGGCTCCGCCCACTTCGACATTTCAGCCAGACACGCGACGCACGACCGCGACGCGCCTGAAAAATCAAAGTGGGCGGAACCTAGTCGCGTTTGGGCTCATTTTAAAGCTTTCAGCGTGCTGGATTCAAATGTAGACATTGAAAATCAAAAATCTCAAATTCTGAGCATCAAAATGAGCTGCAACATGGGAATAATTTTTGCTCAATTTCTGAAGCAAAAAAGAATTTCTTTTTTTCGAAACATCGCAATTTTTGAGTAAAGTTCAAGGCCGGCCAGCCGCGGCTTCAGAAAAAATATTCGAAGAAGCCGCGGCCGGCCCAGGCTAGCCGTGCGGCTTTTCACGGCCTTTTGAAATAATTGTTTCATGAGAAACGTAGATTTTTTTTTTTTTGAAAAATAGAACAAAAAACGAAATTATTCAAAAACTAATTGATTTTCACTTCACGCGTTTTCATGAGGCTATTCGCGGCCGGCCTCGGCTAGCCGCGGCTTTTCACGGCTTTCACAAAAAAAGCCGCGACCAGCCGCCTTTTTGCACAGCCTTGGTAAAATTCGTCTGTTTTGCAGTCCTCCAACAAGTGATCATAGCCGGAATGGTGAAGCGGCCACTAGTGTTTTGTACATTTCAAGAAGGCCAGACGATGAAACATTTTAAGGGAGTCATGGCGAGACTACGGTCAGAAAATGTGTCAATTGGTAAGGGATTTTCGACCATTTTCAGCCAAAATCCCAAATTTCCAAATTTCAGGTCAACTGAACTCGGTTCTCCGCAAAATCGCCACTTCTCAAATCAGATTACCGTATATTCCAACGGAAACCTTCGTATTCGATTTCGTATTTCAGTATCTTGCAGGCCCACAGAATAGGGCATTGCTGGACAACTTGAAACCTCTGAAATCTACGTCTTAAGCTCCGCCCCTTTTCCCAGTATTTTTAGCATTTTTTCCAAATTTGATTGGGCCATAAATCGCTTCAAAATGTCCCAATTGACATGAAACTCAATTTTTGGGATTTGTGAGGTTGTGAGCTTCAAAATGAGCCCAAACACGCCGCAAATCGGTTCACTTTGATTTTCACCCAAACACGCGACGCACGACCGCGACGCACTCGAAATTTCGAATCTCACCGAATCGTGGCGTGTTGGGGCTCATTTTGAAGATCTCAGCGTGCTGAATTCAAATTTTTATGTCAAAAATCAAAATTCCCAAGTTTCGAGTTACAAAATGAGCTTATTTCCTTAAGCTCCGCCCCCCGTTTCCTTGGACTCCGCCCCTTCTTTTTTTTTGGTTATTTGTCCCATATAAAAAAATTGAATATAATCATTGGTTTGTTGTTTTGCGTGTATTTCTCTCATGTGTATGTGTGAAAATTTCAAAGATCTCGTTTCTTTTTGGCTCCGCCCCTTTTTTAAGCCACGCCCTCTTTTTTTAAAATTCATTTTCCCCGATGATTTTGATTCTTTTTTTTTGGATCATTTGCTTTATGATTATTTGTATCTGAAATAAAATTCATGGCTTGTCTGAAATTGGCTGAAAAATTTGAGACAAAAGATTTTGAAAATTTTCGATTTTTCTGAAAAAAAATTCAACTAGAAACTTGAAAGTAACACTGAAAAATGTAGAAAATTGAAGGAAAATTTTTCTAGAAAATTCTCTAAAATCGATCAATGGAACGAAAAATTGAGAAATCTGAACATTTGAAAAAAAAACACAAATAATAAAAATCCAAATTGAACATTTTCATACAAAAAAGCCAATTTCTGACCTAAAATGCTTTAAAATGAGCCTAAACACGACTAGAATTGGATTTCAAAAGTTTCCGAGTTTGGACCATAAAACTTTTCAAAATGCCCTAATTTTAACAAATACCACATTTTCAGATGTTTGGGCTTTTTAGCTTCAAAATGAGCCCAAACACGGTGCAAATTGGTTAATTTTGATTTTTTGCACAAAACACGCGACGCACGACCGCGACGCACTCGAAATTTTGAATCTCACTGAATCATGGCGTGTTTGGACTCATTTTGAAGCTCTCAGTGTGCTGAATTCAATTTTTAACAGCAAAAACCGAAATTCGCAAGTTCTGAGCTTCAAAATGAGCTAAAACATGACTTTAATTTCGAAATTACCTGTGTTTAGACTTATTTTGAAGCGCAGATTTTCCGAATTATGATATTCAATGTCCCAATTTGAATTCAGTACAGTACACTGAGAGCTTTAAAATAAGCCCAAACACGCCATGGTTCGGTGAGATTCAAAATTTCGGGTGCGTCGCGGTCGTGCGTCGCGTGTTTTGGGCGAAAAATCAAAATTATCCGATTTGCATCGTATTTGGGTTCATTTTGAAGCTCACAATCTCATAAGTCTGAAAATCTCGTTTTTGTGTTAATTGGTACATTTTAGAGGGTGTTATGGTCCAAGAAAATACGACTCTGGAAATTTGAAAATTCGTTTGGCCTCTAGAAAATCAGAATAATTAAAATAAAAAGAAAAAAGAAAGAAAAATCGATATTTCTCAATTTTTTCACAGTTTCAAAAACAAATAAAATACGGATATAAAAAACTTTATTAATATTTTCTTCACAAACTTTCAACAACATTTTAATTAAAATTTCTCAAAAAAAAGAAGTTTAAAAAACTCAAAAAATGTTTTCAAATTCCCCGATTTTTACAATTTTTGCACAAATCTCTTCCAACGAATCGAATACATGCATCTCGTCGTAAATTTCAATTTTTGGAATTTCCAGAAGCAATTTGTAGAGTTGGCCTGAAAATTTTAAATTTCAAAATTTTTCAAAACTTAAAAAAAAACCAACCAACAGTAACATTGTCCATTTCAAGTCTGCGTTTCATTTGTCTACATTTATTTCCCATTACCGTATCCCCAAAAATACAGAACTGTAGAGGACGTCCGGCGATTGAAGCAGCCATTAGTTGGATGAGGACTGAAAATTATGGTTTAGTTTTTTGAGATCACTTATCTCGGTTACTGTAAGAGGTTTTGAAAAAGTGTCAATTAATAAAATGTTGGTGATATTATGATAAACATTTTATCAGTTGATTACTTTT